TACTGGGGATCAGACTCAGGGACACTTAACCACTGAGCCACATCCCCAGCCCTATTTTGTATTTTATTTAGAGACAGGGTCTCACTGAGTTGCTTAGTGCCTTGCTTTTGCTGAGGCTGGCTTCAAACTCATGATCCTCCTGCCTCAGCCTCCAGAGCCACTGGGATTACAGGCGTGCACCACCACGCCCAGCTCCCCTTGGCTTTTCTGACTTGAATCCCCCTGGTACAATCTTCATTATTTCTGTTCTGCTAGGTACATCCTAGGCCACATGGTAGGTGCCTGTGAGACAGTATGGCAGTGTTTATTATGATCTTCCAGCTCCCACAGCAGCTGCAGCATGGCCATGATGCCTCCCACCTCATCTCCCCATGGCCAGTTGAGAAACACCAAGCACTTTCAAATACCAGTGCACAGTATAACTGAATCATCTAAGTTCAGGTTGCTTTTCTGATCTCAAGTTTTTTCTATACCAAATAGTTTCTGTGTTCTCCCTCCCACTATGCTGAATCAGCGCTGCTACAGCTGCTGCTGCCATTAACCATTTTAGCTCTTCAATGCACCCAAATTTCTGAGTCTCTAAGACACTCTGACTGTCCAATATTGAATTTTAGTAAAATCCCTCTTTTACCCACCTCACTGAGAAGCAGTACTCTTGCTTCTTGAATCCCAAGCCATGGAGAAACTAGGAAAGCATCTTTCCTCTAATCCGCCATCTTGAATCCTCCCATACAAGATTTTCAAGCAAGCAGCCAGGCACCAGACAAGGAAAATCAAACCAAATGTGAAGAAAAGGGATATCAGCTTTTGTGGAAACTCAAATCCTGAGATTAGGATTAAGACCAATGCTCAAAAAGTAGAGGGGATACAAAGAGGATAGCAGGGAAATGAAAATCTGGGAGGTGGGGGAAGGAATTATGAGTCTCTCAAGGAGTAGGCGTTGGGCTCCTGCTCCACAGTCCTCAGGGGCAACATGGCGCATAGAGTTACAACTATTCATAATCTTAGGTTACAACTCCACCCAAGATTCTGGGGTAACAAGGAAAATGCCACACTCTCTTGATGGGACTGCCAGACTAGACAGTGCTGTTTCAGAAGTATTGTGATGACTGGCAGCGCCTTCTCAGCAACTTGACACCACATAAAATCTGGATACTTTTGCATAATCTTGGAATTTGTGAGGAACCCACCAACTAGGTAGATGATGGGAGGGGTCCTGGTAACAGAATTAAATTTAAGGAAAACAGACATGAAATATTTCTTTCTTCACCTAGTGTTCTACGGATTGAAAAAAATCACACCAGCTATACATTTTCCCTGATTCCTCATTGTTGAGAAAGAAAAGTTCTGGTTAACAGGCTGGTGGTGGGCATGCACTCACTCACAGAAAGGAGTATTTGGGGGTTCATGTTTTGGGTCCACTCTAGGACTAAAATGCCTTCTTTCCATCTCTGTATTTCTAATACAAAATGAGGAGACAGAGTAGACAATAGAGCAGTTTCTGTATCACAGCCAGGGAAGAGTTAGGAAGAAGAGTGGAATCCACAAGCACAAAAATAAAGTACCCAGGGGCTGGAGTTGTGGCTCAGTGGTAGAGCGCTTGCCTAGCATATGTGAGTCACTGGACTCAATCCTCAGCACCACATAAAAATAAATAAATAAAGTAAATGTATTAAAAAAAAGAAAGAAAGAAAGTACCCAAAATATCAGTGGGTGTCATAAGGACCCAATGAGTACTTTGAGATTGTAGCAGGCCCAGCTAAATTCTCACTGAGTTTGTCCTAAACAGAACAAACAGTCCCTTTGAATACACAGGACACAAAGCACTTCTCATAAAAAATACCTCTTATAGAAAGAATCTGACTCAATCTTTTGGAAATAATTGTACCAGGCAGTGAGAGCTAACAGTAGGTATGCCACACAGCACCATGTGGAACCAAACTTGGTTCTGCTTGGTCCCAAATAGCCAGCTTGGTGGAAAAATAGCAGCTTGGTGGACCAGGTGAATGGGCACCTTTAGCAGAAGAGAACATGAAAGTAAAGTCTCCCACTCTCAGGAGACTCAGGCCTGCTACACTTTCTAGATAATCGGACCTTACCTCAAATCTACTGGAAGGAAGAGGAGTAAAGTTGAATTTTTACCTTTTTAGATTTCAAGTCCCTAAATGTTTGCAAAATATCAGTTATTTAGAGAACTATTAAGGTATAAAAGAGGTCACACCCTGTTCCCAACTCACCGTCACATTCCAGCAGACACTGAAAAGTTGAACATGGGGAACCTTATTCCTGCTCTAGTTCAAAGATTCTCTCCTTTCTTCCTCTTTTGTCATTTTTGCCCATGTACAGTGGTTTGGAAGTAAGAAGAAACATTCTTATAAGAAAAATATATCATCAATTTCCTGTAAAAACTTTGGAGAAAGAGTCAGATCTGTGGCCTGTGTTCAATATGTAGCATGGTCTGGATTCCCTGTTTGGAGCTTTGAGAAAGGGTTATAGCTATGTTTTCCCTTCTCCTCTGTCCAGTTACCTAGGCAAAGTGGCAGTCTCCATGCTATTGACATTCCAGCCGCCTAGACCCATGACTCTGTGACAATACTTTCAAAGTGATAGCAGCAGCTACTTTCCATATTACCATATGTATTCTTTTTAAAAATATTTTTTACTTGTAGATGGACACAATACTTTTATTTATTTATTGTTTTATGGTGCTGAGGATTGAACCCAGTGCCTCCCACATGAGAGTGCTCTACCACTGAGCCACAATCCCAGTCCATCATATATCTTTTTCAAGAAGGTCTCCCATTCTCTGTAAATTGGAATTGAAGTTCTTTTTCTCTGGAATGGGAAGAAGGTCTTTAACTTCTCTTCACTGTTAGAAAGAGCTTTAAGGTTTAGCAACTCCAGACAGCTGCAATGGATAATAAGCCATAGGGACTGTGGAACCTAAAGGCCCAACAGCCACGGACTGGGCCATGGGAAGATACAGAGAGGTGCCAGGGATGCAGCTGACATGGTAGGGAATGTGGTGGCCCCTGGGTGCACAAAGCCCGGAAGATAGAGCTCTGAGTGAGCAGGTGGAGCATCAGCACAGGGAGGAGCCTGAGGAAGATGTAAGGTCTGAGGGTGTACCAATTCCCAGGAGGCTGCACTGGGTAGGCTGGCTGCATTGGATACTGACCTTTGCTGTTCATGGTAGCAGCGGGTCCAGTTTGACTTGGTGTGGCTGACAGTTATTTTTTTTCGTCCTCTTCCTGTTCGGAGTCACTCAATATCTATAAATCTTTGGAGATTAAAATGATTTCTTATTTCAGGTTGCATTTTGCTAACACTAGTCAAGTTGAGTATTTTTGGAAATATTTTTCAGTCATATTATTGCCTTAATTGGCAATTCATCTTTTTGTCCATTTTTTCCCTTTGGGGTTGATTTGTGGTTCTTCATATATTCTGACTATAAATCATTTGTTCATTAATCTATATGTTGGAAATGGTTTTCTCCAAGTCTGCTGTTGCTGCCCCCGACCCTCGCGGGTAGCTGAACTTAAGCTCGTATGAATTTCCAGGGACACCAAATAAAACACAGATAGACACTTTACCTTTAAACAAGCTTTAGGATGTTTCTCCTCTCTCAGCCTCAGGCTCCCCAAATTGGAGAGCAAGAGAAAGTCACGAGAGGCTGGCAAGAGAGAGAGAGAGCATGGTTGGAAGTGGGCTTTTATTGGGGTGGGGGGACTCTTGTTCTTAGAAAGTTCCATCCAAAAAAGGCCAGAAAGGGCAGGGTTAAAAGGGACGAGTATAATTCAACCCAAGGGGAGTCGCCTACATCTGAAGACACGCCCTCAACTTCCTGAACCAGGACAATGCCCAGATCACTACAAAATGTAGTGGTCAAAGCCTCTGGCTTCAGGATGGAAGGCATGAGTCATTCAGAGTGGCTCTCCACATGCTGTCTTTTTTTAAAATATTTTTTTTTAGTTGTTGATAGACCTTTGTTTTATTTATTTATGTGTGGTGCTGAGAATCTAATCCAGTGCCTCACTCATGCCAGGCAAGTGCACTACTGCTAAGCCCCAGCCCCAGCCCCAGCCCCAGCCCCAGCCCCAGCCCCAGCCCCTGCTGTCTATCTTTTAACTTTTATTACACATAAGTTTTAAATTTTGACATAGTCAAGTTTGACACTCTTTCCTTTTCTTTTTGGTCTTCTCAAAAGCTCCTTTCTCTACCTCCACACATCATTTTCAACAGCTGCATTCATTGTATAAATATATCATAATGTATAAAATTCTCTCTTATTACTGGAAATTTAGGTTATTCTATCCTTTCATTAATGTACAGAATAATGTGGAAAATAACTGTGTTCATCATGATATTCTTAGCACATGTCTCAGTGCCTATAAAGAAAGCATAATAAATGTTTCTTGAAGAGGGATGAGGAGAAAAGCAGGAAGCTTTTCCAAACTCTTATACAAAATGTTAAAAATGCAGCCCAAAGTCAACCAAATTATTGGCAATATTGGGAAAATAGCCCTGTAATGCTCCTTTAGCCCAGATAACCAAAAGATGAGTCTGCTTCTAAAATCTAGGAGGGTTGGGGGAGCAGATATATAGCTCAGTGATAGAGCACTTACCTAGCATGTGCAAGATGTACGAGGTCCTAGATTCAATGCCCAGAACTGCAATAATAATAACAATTAAGTAATTAGTTTAAAAATATAAAATATAGGCATAGAAATAAAGCCTAGCCTTACCTTACGATTGCCCTTTCAAGGAGTATAGGCCTGTTATCAGTATACCTGCATCCTCTCCCTTATTTTGACTTCAATGTTAGGGTGCTGCTTTGCTTGATAAGTAGTCAAGGTTTACATTTTAGAAGTGAGAGAATAGGCCGCAGAAGCTGAGGTAGAGGGAGAAGAAGCTTCATGTCCAGGAGTCTGTGCTGTTATAGTTTTGGGATTCTGGACTCCAGATCCAGCAGGTGGAGCTGGGGATCTAGAAGGGGGGGGCTACAGGTCTTGAGCTTCTCGAAGATGGGTCTTCATATCCAGGAGGTGGGACTCCATATCCAGGAGGTGGGACTCCATATCCTGGAGGGGGGGCTCCATATCCTGGAGGGAGGGCTCCATATCCTGGAGGAAGGGCTCCATATCCTGGAGGGGGGGCTCCATATCCTGGAGGGGGAGCTCCATATCCTACAGGAATGGCTCCATATGCCATAGGAGGGGCTCCATATCCTGCAGAGGGGGCTCCATATCCTGCAGGAGGGGCTCCATACCCTGACTGGGGGCCTCCATAAACCAAAACTGGGAATGACAAAGAGAGAAAAAACAATTCAGTTATTCTGGAGACAAAGAATAAATGAGAGGAAAGAACATCAAAACAAAAACAGAAAACACTGAGGCAAACTAACAAAAGAAGAGAATTCAGGTAGAATAATGCTAAAACATTTTTTCTTCAGCCATACCAGCTAAAAGCTTTATCATTTCCTATTGTGGAGAGACGCAAAAGAACATAAAAACAATCCTATAGTTAAATTGGTACATTATTTATAGTTGTGCACAGACACATATTTTATTTAATAAAGTTTGTTTTGATTATGAATAAGGTACTACATGCTCAGTGAGGAAAATTTATTTGGACTATAGAGGGTAAAAAGTGAATAAAGAAGAAAGTCATCTATAATTTCATTATCAAAAAACAAATACTAGGGCTGGCGTTGTGGCTCGGTGGTAGAGCGCTTGCCTAGCATTTGCCAGGCCCTGGGTTCAATCCTCAGCACCACATAAAAATAATTTTTTTTTTTTAAAGAGAGAGAGAGAGAGAGAAGAGAGAATTTTAATATTTATTTTTTAGTTTTCGGCGGACACAACATTTGTTTGTATGTGGTGCTGAGGATTGACCCCGGGCCGCACGCATGCCAGGCGAGCACGCTACCGCTTGAGCCACATCCCCAGCCCCAAAAAATAAATTTTTTTTATTGTGTCCAACTACAACTAAAAAAAAAAAAAAAAATACTAGTTTGATGTATTTCTTCATAGAATCTTGGTGAAAATTTTTATACAATCATGATCATACTGATATGTAATTTTTACTTTTTTGTTAATATTATTTAAAATTCTTTATATCATTAATTTACTTCATACATTGAAAGCAGGATGATAATTTGTTATATGGATTGATGCTACTTAATTTCCCTGTTGTTATAAAGCCTGCTGTTTCCGGGGCTGGGGCTGGGGCTCAGTGGTAGAGCACTTGCCTAGCATGCGTGAGGCACTGGGTTCGATCCTCAGCACCACATAAAAAAATAAATAAATAAGTAAAATAAAGGTATTGTGTCCATCTACAACTAAAAATAAAATTAAAAAAAAAGAAAGCATGTTGTATCCAAATTTCCAATTACTATTATAATAAACAGGAGCTTCATTTCCTTGGGCCACATTCCCCAAAGTGACTTAAATGGGCCAAGGTGAATGAACAACTATAAAGTTATTTTGGTGTAATTCATACATATATTTAAGCTAACTGATTCTATAGTAGATGACAAATATATAGTAGATAACAAATAAATAGCATTTCATTCATTCTTCATTATGAATTCAGCTCTTCTCAACTAATGTATTTGGTCTTATAAAATCTTTTTAAAATAAATCTTTCAAGTATTGTAATAATGACTCAACCAACAATTTCAGTGACAAACTTAGTGTTAAAGCAAGTAGCTCCAAATAGATTGATGCCTAAATGAAGTGTGTCTGGTGAAAAGCCCTTTTGAACTTGCCTCTCATGTGAACATGCGTAAGGTCATCACCCATTTAAAATGTCCAGCCTGAGAGATGTTACAAGCTTAGAAGCTAGCGTTTTCATTCTCAACTGAAAATCAACGACTTTTCCTACATCCATCAAAGAACTGAGGTCACAAGGCAACTTAGCACCCCTAAACATGGAGAGAAAAGTTAATACAGAAAATCACAGTAGAGATCACCTTACCCAGAGAAGCCAGTAACTGGACTTTTTTCCTATTTGATAACAATGGAGAGAGAAATGCAACACACTTTAAGATGGAGTTCTTACAGAAAACTAAAGACAACAGAAGGCATGGAACGGGGTTGGAGAGGAAACTAAGAGGAACTTAAGCCTTTGATACTACAACCAGAGCAAATACTAAACACTGTTTAACTCCTAGCCAGACTGATTTTTAAAAACTCACATTAAAAGCCTAAATACCTTAGTTACTATAACTTAACAGATCATGTCCAACTTTTCAACAAAAAAACACAAGCCTTAATAAAAGGCAAGAAAAAAAAAGCCTAATGAGCCAAAGAAAGAATAAAAACTATTCTCAGATGTGATGCAGAGTTTGGAACTATCATATTGGGAAATTAAAATAATTATGAATAATCTAGAAAGAACTCCAAAGGAAAAAACAGATATCACATAAGAACAGATTGTAGTGTATTCAGGGTGCTATCATTTGGATCTTGAATATCCCTCAAAGGTCCATGTGTTAAAGGTTTGGTTCCCAGGGTAGCACTATTAGGAGGTATTGTGAATCTTCAGGAGAAGGAGCCTTATGGGAAGACCTTGGTCATTGAGGGTAGTCAGAAGGAGACTACAGGACTCTCATCTCTTCCTCTTTCTCTCTGCCTCTGAGGTTTTGCTCTGCCACACACTGTCATGATGATTTGCTGCCTTGCCACAGGTCCAAAACAGTAAGGTAATTATCATGGACTGGACCTCCTAAACCATGAGTCCAAAAAAATTCTTTTATTTTTTTAAGTTAATTATCTCAGGTATTATATTACAGTAACATATTAACTTTCTGTTGCTGTGACCAAATACATGAAAATTTTAGCTTAAAGAAGCAAAGATTTATTTTGGCTCACAGTTTCAGAGGTTTCAATCCATAGTCATTTGACCCCATTGCTCTTGGGCCTTTAGCAAGGCAAAACATCATAGCAGAGAGCACAACATGAAACACAGCTGCTCACCTCATGGCAGCCTGGAAGAAGAGGGGGTGGGCAAGGACAAGGTATACCCTTCAAGGACATACCCCCAGTGACCTACTTCTTCCAGCTAGGTCTCACCTCCTAAAGTTCCACCACCTTTCAATACTGCCAACAGCTGGGGACCAAGCCTTTAATACATGAGCCTTTGGGTGACATTCCAGATCCAAATTATAACATGATAAAAAACTAACATATAGGGAGATGGAAATTCTTAGAATCAAATGAAAATGCCAGAAATAAGAAACAGTAAAAGAGAAATTAAGAATGCCTTCTTTTCCCCCATTGGATCAAACTAAACAAAAATGAAAATACAGCCTATCAAAATTTGTGGGATGCAGTGAAATTAATGCTGAAAGAGGAATTGATAGCACTGAATTTATAGCACTGTGAACACACACACACACACACACACACATATACATATGGAAAACTTTGGAGATATAGATATATATATGAACGAAGCAGAGCTGGGCCCAGTGATGCATGACTGTAATCCCAGCAACTCTGACCAGCCTGAGAAACCATACAAACATATGGAAATTGAACAAGACTCTCTTAAATAAAGAATGGATCAAAAAATAAAGAGAATATAGGTGCTGGGGTTGTGGCTCAGTGGTAGAGTGCTTGCCTAGCATGGGTAAGACCTGGCTCAGCACCACATAATGATAAATAAATAAAGGTATTGTGTCCATCTACAACTAAAAAATATTTTTAAAATAAAATTTAAAAAATAAAAAATAAATGAGAATATAAATCAAGAAATTCTTAAAAACAAATGAGAACAGAAATACAATGTATCAAAATTTCTAGGACAGTATGAAAGCAATTCTAAGAGAAAAATTAATAGCACTGAGTGCTTCCATTTAAAAAATAAATGCCAAATAAATAAGCTATGCCCTACCTCAAGGTCTTAGAAAAAGAAGAACAAACTAACTCCAAAACCAGTAAATAAATAATTAAGATCAGAGCTGAAATCAATTGAAATTGAAAGAATAAGAAAACAATACACAGTATCAATGCAAAGAATTGGTTCTTTGAAAAGATAAGACTGATGAACCCTTAGCCAAACTAACAAAAGAAAGAATGTGACCAAATAAATATGATCAGAGATAAAAAAGGAGATATCACCACAGAACCTTCTGAAATCCACAGAATTACCAGAATTTATTTTGAAAATTTATACTACCATAAACTGAAAAACCTAGAAGACATTGACAAATTTCTAGACACCTATAACCTGTCCAAATTAAATCAGGAAGATCTAGAAAACCTAAACAGATCAATATCAAATAATGACATTAAAACATCAATTAAAAGCTTTCCAAAAGGGAAAAGCCCAGGACCGCATGGAATCTCAGCTGAATTCTAATAGACCTTTATAGAAGAAGTAACACCAGTCTTTCTCAAATTATTCCATGATATTGAAAGGGAGGGAACACGTCCAAAAACATTCTATAAAGCTAGTATAACCCAGATACAAAAACCAGACAAAGACACATCAAGGAAAGAAAACTACAGACCAAGGGCTGGGGTTGTGGCTCAGTGGTAGAGCACTTGCCTAGCATGTGTGGGGCACTGAGTTTGAGTCTTGCTGAGACTCAATTGACAACTAAAAAAATAAAGAAAACTACACTAATATCCCTGATGAACATAAATGCAAAAATTCTTATAAAACATTAGCAAACTGCAGTCAAAAACATATTAAGAGGCTGGTGTCACAGCTCAGTCATAGAGCACTCTTCTAGTATGTGTGAGGCACTGGGTTCAACTCTCAGCACCACATATAAATAAATAAATTAATTAAATAAAGGCCCACTGACAACTAAAAAAATTTTTTTAAATATTAAGATGATAATACACCATGATCAAGTAGGTTTTATCCCAAGATGCAAGGTTGGTTCAACAAACACAAATCAATAAATGTAATTCACCACATAAATAGAATTAAGAATAAGAATCATATAATTATCTCAAAAGATACAGAAAAGGCCTTTGATGAAATCCATCACCCATTCATGTTAAGAACACTGGAGAAACTAGGGATCTATGGAACTTACTTCAACATCGTAAAGGCTACTTATGACAAACCCAAAGCCAACAGCATACTGATGGAGAAAAACTAAAAACATTTCCTCTAAAATCAGGAACAAGACAAGAATGTCTACTCTCACCAATTTTATTCAATGTAGTTCTTGAAACATTAGCCAGTATGATCAGACAACAAAAGGAAATCAAACAGATACAAATTAGAAAAGATGTCAAACTCTCTCTGCCAATGACATGACCCTACATCTAGAAGACCCAAGAAACTCCACCAGAAGACTTCTAGAGCTAATAAGTGAGTTCAGCAAAATAGGAGAATACAAGACCAAACCTCATAAATATATAGCTTTCTTATACTCCAACAGTAATTCAGCGGAGGAAGAAATCAAGAAAACAATTCCATTCATAATAACCTCCAAAAAAAAAAAAAAAAAAACCTTGGAAATTAATTTAATCAAGGGGTACAATGAAAATCACAGAACAGTGAAGAAAGAAATTGAAGAGGACCTCAAAAGGTAGAAGAACCTTCCATGTTCTTGGATAGGTGGAATTAATATTGTCAAAATGACCACACTACCAAAAACAATATACGCATTCAATGAAATCCCCATCAGAATACCAATGACATTCTTACAGAATTATAAGCAATTCTCCCCCCCCACACACTTTTTGGTGTATTATAGTTGTACATAGTGATAGAAATTGTTGGTACATACTGATGGGATTTGTAGGTACATACCATGGAGTGGTTCCATGCCTAGTATTTTGAGGAGCTTCTACTAATTTTCATAGCAGTTGTACTAATTTACAGTCCCATCATCAGTGTGAAAGTGTTCATTTTTCTCCACATCCCCTACAGCATTTATTATTCTTTGTAATACTGATGACTGTCATTCTGACTGGTGCGAGATAAAATCTCAGTGTAGTTTTTTTTAATATTTATTTTTTAGTTTTCGGCAGATACAACATCTTTGTTTGTATGTGGTGCTGAGGATCGAAACTGGGCCGCACGCATGCCAGGGGAGCGCACTACCGCTTGAGCCACATCCCCAGCCTTCACTGTAGTTTTAATTCTCATTCCCTCCTGAGCTTTAGGATTCTATAGACAAAGTCATTACCTGTACCTAAAATCTAAAATATTGACCCTACGTTTTCTTCTAGGAGCTGCACAGTTTCTGGTCTAATTCTGAGGTCTTTGATCCATTTTGAGTTGATTGTTGTGCAGGGTAATAGATAAAGGTGTAGTTTCATCCTTCTACATATGGATAACCAGTTGTCCCAGCACCATTTGTCTAAAAGCCTGTCTTTTCTTCAATATATGTTTTTGGCACCTTTGTCAAGAATCAGATGACTGTATCTGTGTGGTTTGTCTGTGTCTTCTTTTCTGTACCATTGGTCTATGTGTCTATTTTTATGTCAGTACCATGCAGTTTTTGTTACTATAGATCTGCAGTATAATTTGAAGTCAGGTACTGTGGTGCCTTAAGCATTGTTTTTTGGCTTAAAATGACTTTGGCTGTTGCAATGGTTATTTTGAATTGCCGATTTGATTGGATTAAGAAATGCCAAAGACTAAGAGGTTTCTGGGTGTGTCAATGAGGGTGTGTCTAGTAATGATTGACATGTGGGATAGCAAACAGAAGTGGAGACCCTCCCTAAGTGTGGGCAGCACTGTTTCCACAGCTTGGGTAGAATAAAGTTGGAAGAACAAGAAAGCAGCAGTAGATGCAAACTTGATTCTTCTTTAACGGGTTCCTGATTGCTACTGCAATCACCTGAGGATATCAGACTCTCACTCCTTCACTATTCCAAAGGGAACAATGCCAGTGATTCTCCAGGGAGTTTCCAGAGCGTTAGGTCTGGGACTGGGGTAGCAGCTTTGATCCCTCTTGTTCTGAGGCTTTAGCATCTTGGATTGTGCAGCTACTAGTTCCTCCAGATCTCCAGCCTGTAGACGGCCACTGTGGACTATCCAGCTTCTAGTCATATAAGTTAATCTAATAAATTCCCTTTTTATAATTATACTTCCTATTGATTCTGTTCCTCTAGAGAACCCTAATACACCTATTCTGGGTCTTTTATTTTCCTAAATGAATTTTAGGAATGGTTTTTCTAGTTCTATGAAGAATGCCCTTGGTTATTTAATGGGGATTGCCTTGAATCCGTATATTGCTTTTGGTAGCATGATCATTTTGACAATATTAATTCTGCCCATCCAAGAATGTGGGAGCTCTTTCCATCTCCTGGGGTGTGGTAAGCCATTGTTATAGATCGTGGCCGCCATTAGAAGATGGCGCTGGCTTCCACTGTGGCCTGTGGTAAACAACTCCTTTTATGGAGAGTTGGCGCGCAATCCCTTACCACCCTATGAGAGAGATCCACGTGGCGGCTTGGGATTGGGCTGCGGGGGGGCTTTATTATGCTGTGCTTGGGTGTGTCGGGTGCGGGTCGCTAGAAGATGATACTTGAATCAAGGCCTGAATAAACTGCTGAAAGAAGAATCCTGTGTCGTGTTTTCCCTTGCCGGCGAGGGGTCGCGACACTTGGTGGCCCGCACGGGGAATTAATATTCCTCGAACCCAGGATCCAAAACTTTCAGCAGTCAGGGTGGTGCACCAGTAAGTTCCCAGGTAAGTGGGAATCCGCAAGCTAATAGCGGGACGCTCCTCTGTAGAAAAGGAGAGAGCGGGGATTTCATAGAACGGGACGCTCCTCTGTAGAAAGGGAGAGAGCGGGGATTTTTGTACTTTCACTTTCATTATATCTTTGGAGACATTATGGGCGCTACCTCTTCAAGCCCAATTTTGTTGGCCCTAGATGGGTTGCTACGTTCAAAGGGACTTAAGGTAAAGCAGAGTACTTTGCAAATGTTTTTGAGAGAAGCTGATATAGCGGCTCCTTGGTTTGCCTTTTCAGGGAGTCTTACGATTCCTAGCTGGGACAAATTAGG